CGTGCCGACTCGTCAGTTTAAAAGCTACAAGGTCACCTAGTTTGTCATAACGCGAGCTTGTTGCTTAAGGAGAAGAAGGGCGGTAATGTTTGCACCTGATTTTATTCCCCGTGTTTCCATACTTCTAAAGAGATATGTTCTATACTAGCGATTTGGGAATTAAAGCCAGCTGGCAGCACTAAAAATCAGACCCATCCAAGGCGTATAGAGATATCGTTTATCATTCTCTAGGAAGATGTATTCCAACCCAAGTCCCCACATCCTTTCTCCAACTTCCTTTTCTGCCCCTTGCGCACCATCAATTGTCGCCGCATCTTCTCTAGTCTATCTAAAAAGAAGACGCGCTAGTCGCTGATCAAAATTCTATACTCGAGACCCGGGTCATGGAAACCTCGCTCCCTAACACAGCACCCACAAGCAATTGTACAATGTGCATAGTTATCATCGCCATATTGGCCTTTCGTCCGTGGTCTGCTGCAGCAACCGCACTGTCTTGCACAGCATCCTCCATATCGCGCGCAATTCTCCACACGATCAGGATACATCTGACGCGATTTATTAAAAATCGCCGTCGCGGAGAATCGTCCACTGGAATTGACCGGTAATCAGTGACTGGCTGTGGATGGTCAAGCTATGGAAATAGCTAACTAGTTTGCAGCCTGAAAAGAGCTTAATTTTATTCTTTAGCCTGCCATACTAACAAGGAGTGATAATGACAGCTGCAAAAATTATAAAAGAAATCAATGCTCCTGCTTTGCGGCGTGCTTTTTCTCTTGTCCCTCCACTTGCCATGCGGGGTCATAAAACTGGCCGCCTGCCCTGCGCCTTGTGGATGACTTCTGGGCTAACGACGACGGACAAGAGCGATTCCGGTTGTGTCCATAGGCGGCTGGAGGGGGGGGGACGAGGGCGTTATCATTGCCCGTTAGCGGAGGGCCGGCAAGGACGGGGTTAGCTCTGGACTGGGGAGGGTTGCCATGTTGAATAGCCTGCCACTGGATGGTTGCTATGTAGGGCGTCCATTTGCCTACGGTAGTCTTCCATGAAACGGGCGATGTCGGCAATATTGGCGCAGCGCGCTTCCACGAGAACTGAATTAAACATTGAGGCCTGGTTCTGAGGCTCTGATATCTTCTTTTCGGAGAGCTTTTTAGTCCCTGCTTTTCTTTCTCTGCTTGGATATGGCTCTCTTCCTAGCTGGAAGAGTACGTGGTGCACTGGAAGCAAGTCAGTAACGTTATTAAAAAATGCTTCAAGAGTCCTCACAAGTTAATAATCAACCATTGGGCCATCCAACAATATCCTTTCAACTACTCCAAAGCACTCTCCACCAAGTCCTCCAGGTCCTCACGGTTGAAAACAATATCGCGTTCCCCATTGTCGGTCGGGTCCCGCAAAAGAAGGTCCTGGAAACGGATCACCATTGCGGCTCTGGCAGAATAACCATGGGCACTCTTGGTTACAATTGCCTCCACATACGGTCAAAGTGAGGCCGAGATCAAGACCGCTGCCCGAAGTCATCGAGGAATTTTAAGAATTGCACAAGGGCTGTTTTCGTTTCCGATTCGTCAATTGATGCTAATGAGATAGAGGGTGAACCGAGTGGTGAGATGCTTAAAACGAGAAAGGAGAGCTAAAGGGGGAGAGCAGTCTCAGAGTCGAGTAGTTGGAATAGGTTGGTTAAACAATTCTCTTGTGTGCTGGGAAATCTCTTGTATACTCTCTTTGCCTGAGCTACAGATGTGTACAACATCTGCAACCTGAAAGGGGGAAGGTAGGAATGAGGGTCATCAAGTGACATTTGTTGCTTATTTGATTCTTGACAAGTATCTCAGTTTGAATCAAGAAGGCATCAGAACCCTTCTTCATGGTAGAGTAATATACGAAGATAAATTAGGGTATAATAGTCAATATAGGAAATTGCACAAAAGCCTCACTGATATTGACTGATATTGAGCTCTTTTTGTGGTGAAGTGAGAGTATATTCACCTCTTAAAGCAAGCTGCATTTTCAAATCAATATAAATCAGCAGTGCATATCAAAAATATATGCGTTATGACAAGTTATAATCATAAGCAGGCGCTTTTATGTTAAGCGCTATACTTGATCGTTTTTCCGTATGGGAAAGGGATAGTTAGGTATAGTCAAGTTTAAATAGCCGCCAGCTCGAAGTTCGACGGTTGATAGTAGCCCTAATGCAAAGTGAGCTTCAACTAGAGCATCGGTGACTGCAGACTCACCTCTATTGTATAATGCCAGTAATAAAATTCAAAACTTCCGGCAAAAAGTCCAATTTCAGTTGCACACCGCGAACTTGTATGATGACAAGCCAGGGTTAGTGTAGAGGCTTACATATTGCAAGCCCTATGCTTCCTCAACGACGCCGCGAAATATTTGATGTACCATGTACGATCAATGCTGAGGCGGCGGTGAGGTTGCCAGCTTGTGAGTTATTACATAGAGATAGGATACTAGGAGTCAAAGATGGGCCGGGGTCCATGTGCGGACTAGCTATCTTCCGAACGGATAAAGGTTCCCGAGCTGGCTTCTCAGGACTCGAATTGGAAGTCATGTTGAATCAGTATATTGTATTAGCTTTGATCTGAGCCCCCATCTATATCATACAACAAATTAATTTCCCATCGTATAAAAGGGGCGATAACTGAGAAACAAAGGAAACGGAAAGATAAGCACAGTATGACAAGAAAGGGGTATCTGAAACTAAATAGGAAAAATCATGAAAACTGAAGAAAATAGCAAGGAGAGGACGATTAACTAAATAATCTTCGGGTTTAGTTCGCCGGTTGAGGCTTGGTCTTGACATTGTTGGGGGCTCCATTCGAGGCTGCTTGCTGCTGTTGATTTGGCATCTGAACCAACCAGTTGGGCGGCGCAATGCCGGTTTGTTCATGGATGGTGGAAAAGAGCGGCGGCAAGCTTTGCATGATGTTTCGGATGGGAGCTGTAGTGTCTTGCGAACCGTCGCCGGCACCTATCAACGCGGTTAGAATTTATGGGTGCAGATCTTTGAGGAAACGGATGTGGCTTACCGGTATTCCAGACGGTAATCTTTGGTTCCATGCCATGTATAGCACCCGCGTTTGCGTTTGCGAGTTTGACGTATGTGTTGTTTTGAATCATCATATACTGCAGGAGGCCTTGTGGTCCGCCAAAGGCGTTGGCCATTTCACCATAGGCCTTGGCCATCTCCACCATACCCTCTGCTTCCTTTTTCTTGGCGACGAATGCTGCTTCTGCCGCCTTCGTTTCACGGTAAACTACGAGTGGGTTAGCATTGGGAGCATATTGTCGCAAGCTCCGAATACAAAGCGCAACTTACATTGGGCATCAGCCTCCATTTTATTCTTGTAGAGCTTCGCATCCGCATCTTTTGTCTCGGAATAGAAGCTAGCATCAGCGTCTTGCTGGGCTGATTCCTTTGCAACCTTGCTCTTGGTGACTTGTGTTGCTCGGAGTCGCTCGAGTTCGGTCTCTGCGCGCTTTGTCTCAACTTGCTTTTGCAGCTCGGCATCCTTCATTTCAGACTGGCGTTGTGCGGCGATCTTCTTCAATCGAATGTCCATGTCGAGCTCGGTTTGACGGTTGGTGAGCTGCGCATCTGCCTGGGCCTTCTCGCTTCGACGTTTAGTCTCCAAGACTGCGGTCTCTGCATCGATCTTGGAAATTTCTTGTTTGGTCTTGCCCCTCTTCTCAGCTTCCCCAATCTCACCCCTCATTCGAGCTTCAGCGACATCAATCTTTGCCTGATTGAGAGCGCCTTCGTGCGCTTTCCTGCTGAGATAAGAAAAGTACTCGCTTCCGGGCGCATCCTGGAGTTCTTTGACGTTGGCATTGTAGCTATGGGATACGGATTAGCGTCGCCCAGTGGAATAGGAAGAACGGGGGCGTAACTTGCATTCGCAGACCAAATTGATCCAGCTCATTCTGGACATTGTCAATGACGTGTTGCTTGAAGACTTGTCTCTCTTTGAAAATCTCTTCCATCGTCATACTGGAGACAATCACACGAGTCTCGCCTTCAATGATGCCCTTGACAATATCCTGCACATGGTTGCCCTCTGTACGTTTCGTGGCCGGTTTACCGGCACTGGCATCAGCTTCGCCGGAGAGGAGTAAAGCGTATTTCTTGAGGGCTTCGATATTGTTATCCGGGCCAATGGTGAAGACTGCGGGTAGAGCAAATTGGAGCTTCTCGATGGTCATTGCTTGCAGGTTGAGGGAAAAGTCGAATGGAGAGATTGAAATTCTCCTGCACTGTGAGCCATTTAGTACGAGGCACACAAGCGCAACCCATTGTAAGAGCTTTCAAACCTTTTGCCATGGCAGCACAAACGCTGTCTTTTTGATGAGGACATCTTTGATTCCACCACCTGTAATAACCAGGTATTCATGGGGTTCTGAGACGTTGTACCTACTCCGATGTCAGCATATGAGAGCCCATTGAGATCTTGAGCATTTATGGGAAAACTGACAACATGGTTGCGCGACGGTTTGTGTCGATCAGTTCGATCCAAACTCAGACGAGAGGTATGCAATGGAGAGGATCTATCGAGATTGTAGATCCAGGTGTTTTGGAAGCAGAAATCGCGGGGAAGCTGACCCTTTTATAGCTGAAACCCAGAGGAGCTTCACGGTAAAGAATCGCGCTCAATCCTCGCAGGTTGTCTGATTATTATGCAAGGCATAAACGGTTGACTGAGAGTTCAGATTTCAGAGCAAGGCGCCGAGGGGCGGAACCCGATCTGTCACGGGACAGGGGCTGGTCCACTAGGTTAACAAGTTAAGCTATTAGTCACTTCACTTCTGGGGAGCTCGTCTGGGTCACTGTGATCATTGTTAGTCACTTTCATCTGAGCAATTTGCGGAGCTCAAAACGAGTTAGCATGGGACTTGGGGGGTAGCAAGGATGTCTGGCGAGGGTCCGAGACGTGAAACCACCACCCAATTGACACAATCCACGTCCCTAAACGCGACGGGTTGAAGTGTAAACAAAGGGAGTTCAGGGTCACGACGGGAGCCTCCGAAGTCACTCTCCAGAGGGAGTGGACCAGAATTCGCCACAAGTCTATCAGTGAGTTCTGACCCATCCATAAGGCGGAGCATCGTAATACTCTGGAAGGTTTCTCGAGCATCCGGCAAACCCATGCCGCGGAGCCAACATGCGATGGCTGAGCGCCAACACGCCAAGCGAGAGCGTGCTTGAGCCGCAGAACCAGACCCCCAGAAAGCGGCTTGGCGGCCAAGCACAATGCAACACAGCCTTTCGTGTTTGCACATCTGATGAGCCTGACCAGCAATCAACCAGCACGGTCTGCGGTCTCGCCGGCACCGACTTCCGTGACATCACGAGACTGTCGGTGGGAGAGAGGCATTCCCCACACCCGTTCCGTGCGGTTCTCTCCGCCTGCATAAAGATCGCAAGGCTGCTCAGAGTACCCTGGCTGCTCAACCGCCGAGAACAAGGCGACCCGAGGGATTTTCTGACAAAGCCTTGTGTTTCAAGACTCAGAACGACTTACTTACATCCTGGGTAGGCAGACTTCAACTTTTGCAGCCTGGCGTGCGAGATTGACGAGAACTTGTTGCCATGGACTATTCATCAAACGATCCCGTTCCATCATACGAAGAATCGGTTGCATCGCAACCCTTCAGCAAGACCGACAGAAAACATGTGCCGGACCCCCAGCCTTCATTATCTCTGCCAAACCAACTGGCCAACACCCGAACTCAGCGCATTGATGCCATCCTGAGCACCTACGTTGACCCGTTACTGTTATCTCAAGGCGCCGCGGGATTGTACAAGACGACATTTATCCTCGTGCCATCCACGGTGTCTACTCTCCAAGATGCCGTCAGTAACGCCTACACCGAAATCCCAGAGCCCCAGATCGTCGGGTTTCCCACCAACGAAGTCGTCAAACTCATTCGACTGAGCGGACAAGAGTACGCAATGGAGTTCTGGCGTCAACCAGCTGTCGTCACGGAGCTAGAATCCTCCATGAAAGCCCGACTCGTGTCTTCCGGGCACAGGCTTTGCGAACCGGACGACCCGAGGACACCGGAACCCCCTCCCGTGGTCCAAGAGACGAAGAAGGTTGGTTTTTGGGACAAAATCAGGGGAAAGGCCATCCATGACGACGAGATACAAGATCGCAAGCTCGGATGGCGGGCGCAGGAACCACAAACCGAACACTCCCCTGGGAAAATCCCTACAGGGCTCGTCCAGGTTAGTGTGCAATGGAAGGAGGTCGCGTTGCGGATTGCGAATGAAATGGGTCTTTATGAGAGTCGGCGTGGCCCTGCTCTGTGTCTTACTGTTGAAGTAGGGAGCTGATAATCCGAGCTTGCATGCGGAATAGACAATCTAGCTCTCCAATAATGAACCTCTAATATGAATTTGTGTTGAATAGACTTCCCCGCACCATCCGAGTTGATGATGTCAGCCAGGGGCCAAAGTGAAATCACATGATCCATGTACTCAAACACAGGGTCACATGACAGCGTTCCCTTGCAAAGATCTCACGTGATTTCTAGCCGGCCCAAGGTATCCCTTCCCCGCTGAATCGAGGGGCATCACACCAGCTGAAGGTGGTATTAGGCAAAGGTATTTTCTACTTTAAAAAGCTGAAGGCTTGCGGAACCGTGAAACCAGTGAGCGACAAGGCTGCTGATCAATATCCATTGAATTCAGCTATTGACCATGAACATTCTCAGTAGCGAGGGGAATATTCGCAGCAGCTCAAATGACAAACACCTTCGAGCCATACCATTAATTAATATGATCCCCCGAGTAGACAGGGTGGAATCACTATGTGTAAAAACTGCATAGACTGGCTCTGTATCCTGGGATGAGTGAGGGGTCAAGCCTAGTTGAAAAAGCGATTGCAGACAGGAGTCGTAGAATATAATTTCGGGTATGATAGATGGCTTTTACTTATTGACCATCTCAGATAACTTCATGCATTCTTTTCCTAAAGAGGAATGCTTAAACGTGATATCCAAGAAGATTAGATATTAGTGAGTATTCCATCTTGGTGGGCCTGGGTTCAGAGAACATAACTTGACAGAATTTAAAAACTCTCCCCTTTCATCAAGACAGGAAACATCTTCAATATCCTCTAGACCACCCTATTTGCCTTGTTATAACTTTCACACCTCCAATACCTTATCAACACTTCAAGCGCACAGTGGCAAAAGCTCCCAACTCACCACCTCAATCCCACCACCCCCAAAACAAAATGTCCACCATCAATCGTACCCCGGCCGCGGGCCTTGATCCTATCCGCAAGGCGATCAAGACGCTAGACCGTCTCGTAAAAGAAGAGGCATCTTATCACGTCGAGCTGGCGGACCAGAAGCGACGAATCATAAAGACTGAAGAGCGGATCAAGTCGCTTGGGGAGAACGCTGAAGAGGAAGGGAACGAGATCTGGATGCTGAAGCAAGAGGTAACTACATATGTTCCGGCGAGAAGCTATTGACCGCCGTTTTTGCTGATGCTCTCATCATCCAACCAGCGTATGGCTTGCGCGGAGACCGAGAGAGTTCTGGAGACGATGCCAAAGGTTACTAGAGGTGCTATGCAGAAGCTGGAAGAGTTAGTTGTAAGTTATTGATCGCATTATCAAATGCTGGTTGATCTTGATATTGACTAGCTAATCTACAAACAGCGTGCAGAACAGGCAAAGGAGAATGATATTAACTCGGCAGCGATTAAAGAAGCGGAAATCGCCATTGCCAATGCGAAGAATGCGATTCCAGCCCTGGCTAGTGGAGCCTGAGATCATTACACATCAGGTTGCGCTTATTGTACGGGACATTTTTAAGATTTGAATGGTTGTTTATGTGTTATGCTTGAAGATTCCCTTCCATCACAGCATGGATACCTTACTTTCCAAACGATTGCAAAGCAAAACCGGGCGTTTATACCTCCTTCATGCTCCTGGTTTTACTCGACAGAGAAATCTCAGCTTGAGGCCAAGGATTGATACCGGAATCACAACCAAGCCCATGCCCGTTCTGTTTAGTAGACTCTAAGACAAAGAATGTGACCAAGGTTATTTTACCGACGCCTCCCACTCTATGCGATGCAGTTCCGTGGACCCGACCACCAAGGCTCGAACTTGGGTGTGGCTCAAAAGTATTTTAGTCCGTAAATGCCGTCAAGAGACCCAGAATGTCCCACGAGAAAATGGGCCTCCTTTCGTTTGTGACAAATGTATCCTTAATACAAGTCACCCAACTATGTAGTATCCATTCTATCCTCGAGTTTCTCACCAGATGGCTCTTCCCCTTCTTCCAGTTCATCCGCCGTTTTCGATGGAGACCGAGCGTCGCTCGCTGAGGTTATTCCACGGGAAGCATCATCAGCTCCGACTTCCCCTTCATCCGCCATATTTTCATCCTCGGGCTCTTTGACATCGCCGGCCGCCACCGTTTGACGGAGTGGAGTAACTCCTGGCGTTGCGGGTCTCCTTGGTTTTTCCACCTGGAGTTTGCCTGACGTCGAAGCCACATCCTCCATAGACTGTGACGGAGTCATAGCATCCTGATCCGGTCGCGGTGTACCGACAAGGCTTGCTTTCCCCCTCGAAACTGTATCTGCCTCATCGCCTTCCTCGCCTTCCTCCATCCCTTCGCGTCTTTCTACCTCTTCCTTTTCGTCTCTGATCAAGCGGCGTAGATTCATCCCTTCCTCGACTATTCTACCAAACTGTTCTCTCCGCTCGGCCCACGTCTGGGCATACTCGCCGCTCTCCGTTTCCAACTTTGCTATCTCGGCGTGCAGCTTCTCCAGGTTCGCTTCTTGATCCTCACGGGGGCGTAGAAGTCTGTTTGATGTAATCTTCTCCGCTAGCTCGTCATAACTTTTCCGCAGCGCGAGAGTCTTTTGCGCCTCTTCTAATTGTTTTCTCAAGTCACCTGTCTTCTCCTTCACCTCCTGGGCGGCTGCTAATATTCTAAGCTTTTCAGCGGCATAGCGTTCCCGTTCTTTAGCATTGCTCGATAGGAGAAACTGGATTCTTGCGATGCTACTCTCAAACGCCGCAAAATCCAAAGTGATGTCCTCCTGGAATTGCCGCCAGTCTTCAAGGAGCTTCTGCCGTTCCGCTTCATGTCGCGCTAACGCATCGCCGTCCGATGATGTAGAATCTGGAGGGGGGGTGGGCGGAAACAAAGTGGGTGAGGAAACAAGGGAGCTTGGAGTAAGCAGGCGCTTCGTGATTCGTTTGAAGGGTTTCTCCTCTACGTTTAATAGGCGGGATTTGTGAAGGGCGTCTAAATCCGGGGAAATGGGTTAGATATGTTTAGATGACTCCTAATTTTGCTTCAGTTCGGAGCACTACTCACCTTCGTCCGCTTGGTCAAGGAGGGTGTGCAGGTCCATGGCACGCTGTTTGAGATCAACAAATCAAATCGGCAGTGGTGATCTCCGCTTAAAGTACAAGAACAATAGAAATTCCCTGGGGCAACAGACTCTAAACTGCTTCCATTCGATTTGCGTCGCAATTTGCAGGCCAAAAACCACCAGGATCAACTCCAGCGATTTGCGCCTAGGGAAGCTAGAGCCAAACAGGCTTAGCTCCGTCTTAGCGCTGTTTACTCAAGCAAGCTTAAAACCACCTCCTTCATCGCTCCAGCGGATGTCAAGGGAGGATGCCCATCTTTTTGATTGCTGGGCTTTATTCAAAAACACTACCAGATACCTGAGATTCTTTGGGTGGAGCGAGGCTTAAAGCTATGATTTTATTTTAATATTGCTGCTAATGGCTGCAATATATCTGTTTGTGGCGGGAAGAGGACTACTTCTCTACCGTGGAATGACTTTACAACGTTGCATTCCATTGGGATGCCGAAAAACCATGATAGCTGGGAGCTTTTTATTAGTTCCACTAAATTATTATTATACTCTGAGCAAGCTGTATAGAGCACGAAAGAAGCTTCCTGCGGTTCCGATTCACATACCACAGCTGGTATGTATGTAGATTGGCATCCGATTTACAAGGACTTGCTACAAAGAATTGCAGAGCGTGATCTACCTGATGCCCTCCAAGGCAAAGGAGCCATTGCTATGCTCCACACGGCAACACTTTTTTTAATGTATACCTGGTACTTCTTTACGGATCCTGACGTCTGTCTCATCGGCTGGACTCAACCGTCACACTGGAATGCGGTCGATGACACATTACGAATAATGCGCTGAACTTTACTGATAGGAATCCCCATTCATGGACCATCTAGAAATTCGAGATGGGAGCTTATTTTAACTTTATTGAGACTGCTACAACGTCAACGTCCATATTTTCAAAACTGGTTCTTATACCCCGCGTGCTCCGGCTTCCTTTTCAAATAGGGACTCTTCCTTTTCTCCCCTCTCAGGAACCCTTCTGCTCTACCGTCGCTGCTGTGAAATTCCGCTACTGAACACTTATTCAAATATTTGTCTCGCTGCAATGTCTGCGAGGCCAGTGTCCATCGAGGAGTGAGTACTATCCTCCATTCTTCACAAGTTCATAATTGACAATTAGCGAAGGATCCCAAAGATGGAGGTTGCACAACGGGAAATCGATCCTTCGGATAGTGCCAATGGAATTGAGCCCAAATTACCGCCTATTGAGCCTCCTATTGAATCCCTGTCAAACGACCTTGAAGATGGAAATGTGAATGAGCCCACCGAAGATGAGCTGAATACCCTTAGGAAGGTCGCCGGCCCCTTGCCATGGTCTGCTTTCCTGGTTGCTGTAGTTGAGCTGTGTGAAAGATTTGCGTACTATGGAGTCACTGGCCCTTTTCAGGTAACGACCGCATGACCTTTCCCTAAACCCGTCGACCAACGCAGCTAACCAGCACTCCTAGAACTATGTTGAGAACCCGTACAAGCCCGGTAGTCCAACTCCAGGCGCATTAGGTACGGCGCATTCTATAAAGGATTGGGCTTATTTACTAATGGCCTGTTACAAGGACTTGGGCAATCCGCCGCGAGTGGATTAACAAGTTTTTTCCAGGTAGATATATATGAAATTCTCCTCTAGTACATTTTACTTATCACCGTGACATGATTAGTTCTGGTGCTATGTTACTCCGGTTTTTGGTGGCATAGTCGCGGACCAATATCTGGGGAAATATAACACGATGGTTATATCGGCCGTAATTTACGTCGTCGGCCTTGCGATTCTGGTTTGCACCGCCCTACCCGTAGCGATCTTGCACAACGCATCGCTTGGTGGGCTCGTGGTTGCAATGATTATCATTGGAATCGGGACCGGGGGAATCAAAGCCAATATTTCACCTCTAATTGCCGAGCAAATTAAAATCAAGAAACCCTTTGTTAAAACGATCAAATCCGGTGAACGAGTTATTGAAGACCCTGCACGGACAATTGAGCGGGTTTGTAAGTTACCCCTACCATTTCTAAGAGCTTGATGCTAAATCCACCATGCAGATATGGTGTTCTATCTATGCATCAATATTGGATCTCTTTCCCCTATCGCAACAACCTCATTAGAAAAACACATTGGCTTCTGGGTTGCCTATTTACTGCCAGCAGGCTTATTCCTAGTGTCCTTTGCCGTGATCATCATCGGCAGGAAATACTACGTAGTGCGCCCACCGAGAGGCTCAGTTGTTCCCCAAGCAGTTAAAGTTATCTGGGTGGGCATAAAAAACAAGGGAAACTTGGACGCAGCGAAGCCCTCGTATCAAATCGCCCACGGAAATGGTTCTGTTGGTATCACCTGGGATGATCGCTTTGTGGAGGAAATGAAGCGAACTTTGGTCGCATGCAAGCTTTTCGTGTAAGATGCAAAATGTTTTGATCCCGTGATTGTGTTGATTCTAACTAAATATCTAGGTACTATCCGATATATTGGGTCTGCTATCAACAGATGTTGAACAATTTCATTTCCCAAGCCGGCACTATGGAGTTGCATGGGATTCCCAACGACCTCATGCAGAATATCGACCCCATCACCATAATTATATTCATTCCCATTTGCGATAGGCTTCTATACCCGTCTTTGCGGAAGATAGGTACCTATTCCCATGATACCCTAACAACATTGGCATTGACCTTAATTTTCTCAGGATTGCCCTTTAAGCCGATTACTCGTATCACAACGGGCTTCTTCCTAGCCTCGCTTGCTATGGCATACGCTGCCATTGTTCAACATTTGATTTACAAAGCTCCCCCTTGCTATGATTTTCCCAAGGAATGTCCCGCAAGCGAAGATGGCACAGTGGGAAACCGTATCCACGTTGCTGTACAAACCCCGGCCTACCTCTTTATTGGGCTGTCAGAAATCTTTGCCAGCATTACCGGCCTCGAATATGCTTTCACCAAGGCGCCCCTTTCGATGAAATCGTTTGTAATGGCATTATTTCTATTAACCAATGCGTTTGGTGCAGCACTTGGCATGGCATTATCACCAACTGCAAAGAATCCGAAACTTATCGTATGTTTGTTTTATCCCTACTGCATAACTTGAATTTACGACTAATATTGTCACGATAGTGGATGTATACCGGTTTAGCCGTCGCATCTACCATCGCCGGCTCCATATTCTGGCTACTCTACAGCAGATATAACGCAACTGAAGAGCAAATGAATGCCCTTGAAATGCCACAAACAGAGGATGAAAAGCCGGTTGCGGCAACTCAGATTTCTATGACTCGCCGTAAAGCCAACGATTCGTAGATTGATATCCTTGAGCAAAAGCGATGCTAGCCACGATATAATTGAATTGGCTACTGACTTCCCTCGCTCTGGCACACGGTGTGACCCAAAGCCATCTTAACTACCTGAACTTGCCTAATACTCAATGCTAACTAACACTTGTGCTTTGTGCTTCAACATTGCGGAAATCTGGCGGACTACCATCCATTCTCCCAACAAATGGGAGATTAATTGATCTTATTACTTTTTAATGCCAAACTCTTTTTATTGTGACATTGTGACAGGAGCATTTGCCATCGCATATAATTCTACCAGCAGAGTCGCAGGTGCAATAATAAAATAATACAAAACAAGCGATGGTGCCCTACGAAACTTGAAATTCTTTAAGGGTTCACGTTTAGTTGAACTCCTATTTCTGTTCAAGCCTGGTTCCAAAACTAGCTGTTGGTCGATCACTGGTTCCTACGTTAATGACACAGTTAGCTACATTCTAGCAGAAATAACTAGCGCGAATCGTGACAGCCGAGGGCGAACTTTGTGTTTCAAAGCCGAAATACCGAAAATCCGTTCCATGGAGCCGATGCCGTTCACGAACACGCAACTTGCATGGCCTTGAATATTAAGCCCAAAATATCGTGAGATGAGTGAAACAATCAGCTTGACGGCGGTATTTGATCCTTGGTGCCATTGAACCTGACGACCGACCTGTACTATCGTGGGTAACAGTGCCAACAACTTTGCGATTCTAACGAGCAAGAGAGGACGCCTGTACTTGGGTTGTTTAACCTATCGTTATGGGGAAGCCATGGAACCTTAGCCAATAGGCCGTGAGCACAAATGGAACGCGGGATTTTTCATAGACGCTCTGGCTATATCGGCATCGAGTTTCTGGCCATTGAATCCAGTCTTTCAGCAGGTCGTATATTTCTTGCTTTCTTTCTTTCTCTCCAGACGGCTGTCTGGTTGTGTCATCTTTTCTGTGATGTACCTCATTTTGACACAGATTTCTGATTTGATTCCATTCTTCCACGCCCGTTCCTATGAATCAGAATACTGTTTTACTCCTCACGACGTTAGGGCCCTCCAAGCATCATTATGAGACGCCAACAAGAGGCTGAAAAGGCCCTTCACGACCAGACAGACCTTCTACCTCGAACCCAGGTGCTAATAGTCTTTGCCGCTTTATCGTTCTCTCTGATGATCTGCTTCATTGATCAGAATGGCATTGGCGTCACTCTACCGACAATCGGAAAGGACTTACATGGAGAAAATACCATATCTTGGGCCGGCACGTCAAATTTGATCGGGAATACAGTCTGCTCTGTTTTGTATGGGAGGCTCTCCGACATATTCGGCCGCAAAGTGGTGTTGCTTTTTTCACTTGTCCTTCTGTGTATTTCTGATATTGGTTGTGGCGTGGCCCAGAACCCCCCGATGTTATATTTTTTTCGAGCTCTAGCGGGCGTGTCTTCAGGCGGAGTTGTGTCTTTGAACATGATTATCGTTTCTGATATCGTGACTTTACGGGACCGTGGCAAGTATCAAGGTATTTTGGGCTCGTTTGTGGGTATCGGTAATATCGTCGGGCTTTTTATCGCAGCAGCGTTTGTGCAGAAGTCGACATGGAGAGGTTTCTTCTACCTCCTCGCCCCCCTTGTGGTGTGCTGTGGAATTGTTTCCTTCTGGCTCGTACCTTCGAACATGCGCCCTGATGGTCTACGGGAGAATCTACAACGGGTAGATTTTGGTGGTGTTATTTCTTCTGCGGCTGGGATAATCCTCCTTTTGATACCAATTTCCGGCGGCGGGTCATACTTCCTGTGGGATTCACCGATGGTTATCAGCATGCTGGTCCTCGGATCCTGTGCAGTTCTCATATTTGTCTTTGTGGAAATGAAAATTGCCGCGCTCCCCATGATGCCAAGTACGCGAACCCCCAAGACCCTGAATCGACTGAGCTTACCTAGCTATTTTGCCCTCCCACCTCGATTTGATCGTTTGCTTTGCTGATATGTCAAATTGTTCACGTTTCCGTTTCGCACAGTGCGGATATACAAAAACGCTGTTGTGGTGGTTATCTTATTTCAAACTTTTACAATCGGTGCCGTGTACCAGGCGTACCTCTATTATCTTCCGATATACTACCAGAATGCCCGACGCTGGAGTCCAATGAAATCCGCAACCTACACAATTCCCGTTGTTGCTGGGCAGACGGTGGGTTCGATTGTATCCGGTCACTATATCACAAAGTTAGAACGGTACGGAGACGTCATCTGGGCCGGTTTCGGCCTGTGGACATTGTAAGTGTGAACAGCTGAGGCTTTAGCATCCCATTATAACCAAAGCTAACATTCCTTCTCAGAGGTGCTGGTCTAACTATCACCTTTAACCGTACGACTCAAGAATGGGTTATCGTTGTCATTCTGTCAATTATTGGTATCGGGGTGGGATTCGTGTTTCAACCCAGTCTCATAGCCATCCAGGCCCATTGCACCAAGTCCTTCCGTGCAGTTGTGATCTCTAACCGCAATTTCTATCGCTGCCTTGGTGGTGCCTGCGGACTAGCAATTTCGGCTGCAGCGCTCCAGCACAGTCTCAAGGCAAACTTACCTCCTCATTACAGATACCTGAGCCATTCCACGTATTCTCTTCCAGAAAACCTTCCACCTAAGGACGCAGACGCTATTATCGATGCGTATATGAAAGCTAGTCGCACAGTCTTTATATTGCAAGTACCGCTGATTGGTCTTGGGTTTATAGGATGCATATTTGTGAAGGATAGGGGCCTGGAGCGGCCGAAAGAGCCGGGTGAGGAAAGTGAAACTTCGGTAGAAATGCAGCTCTCGAATGACATCGCCCACGATCAGCCCTCACGGAGCTCTCTAGCGGGCCAGCACGCACCTGATCCGGAGAAAAGAACATAAAGAACCCTGCCTTGCTCCTCGCATAACTAATCTTCAAACACGTCAGTGAGGAAAGAAAAAATGTTCGGGATATTCCCCTTTTGTCGAGGTTTAGAGCTTTTCGAGCTGTGATTGTGACTTATCCTTCCAACACTGCGTGCGTCGCTACGCCAGTACGTTAACTCCCTCCGGAGCTTCTGTAAAAAGGAAAAAAGTTGAATATGGGAAATGCTGCGGTCACTTCGGTATTTCGGCAGAACGGTTAAAAGTTCGGGATCAACCTTATTTCTCGGCAATGAAACATCGACTGTGGTCCCGAACGACAACGATAAAAAAAGCAAGAAGACCTTCATAAAATTAGGCTCTAGAATAATATTGCAAACATCTTTCTCATCATGGATGAGCTCCTTTTCTCCAATATCTCAGGACTATCCGCCGGATCAGGAAAAGTGTCCATGCGCCTACCCTTATCAAGATCGACATGCCGTAAATCGACACCCAAACTCCAATCTCTAGTGTAGATTTTATAGCAAACTGTGACGCACATAGCGATTGGAGCGGCCATGCACGTTTGGAAGAAGGATTCGACTCTCGATTTCGGGTTGATCGGCTAATCGGATACGCATTAGCCAGAAAAAGGATGTGAGGTGAAGAAAAAAAAAAGAAACACACTCACAAATATTGCAAGGTAAAAGGTCGCAATGATGGCGATTGCGGCTAAGCCAAACCCAACCACACTTCCAGCAACTCCAAGGGGTGAGCGGTAGGGAATATCTTCCTCATTGCGTCCCTGTAGCTTCCACGCTTGCCTGAACCTAATGTGGCAGAAGCAAATAGTCGCTGTGATAAATAGAGTCGAAAGCCCGCTTAGTGCCATTAACCATGCAAAGATAGTTTCACCTGCTGCCACTTCACCTATAAACGCAAGCGTACCAAATGCTATCTGCAGAAGAACACACCACACCGGCCGTCCCTTGCTGTCAACATACGCAAAAGCCTTGGGCCCATTGCCTGTGGATGCCAAGGCTTGCAAGGTGCGTGTTGAGCCGTACGAGCAAGTATTTGCAACGCTAATAACGGCAAGGGTGATAACGGCGTTTATAATCGACGGTAACGCTTTGATTCCTGCAAGTTGGGCAGCGAGCACAAACGGACTGGGCTTTTGTGTTGCCTCCCTTGGCGCCTAAAGCACGGTACTATCACTCGGAATATTTCAGTCCTATCAACAGAATAATTAAGCA